TCAAACAGTAGTTTAGCTTGACTAGTAAAGAATTTCTGCCTTAAGCACTTTTAAGATCTAGCTATATGAGACCCGATTGACAAGAGCAACTTGAAAGGTTAGATAGGAACCTTAGGGGAGAGTGAGTTTATGCGAATGGGGGAGGAACAACTCAGAAAAGGAGGGTGAGAATGGTTGCCCAACTCGAAGAATGTAATCAAGGTCAGTGAATTGTACATGTAGGAACTGTTGAATTGCTGTGTGTTCTCTTGTATATGTTCTCAACAACTAAAGTAAATTATATTTAAAAACTGTATTTTAAGTAAAAGGCTGGGGGCCGCCAGAATGGTCTTATTAAGACAACATCTGTCTTTTTGAAAACCCAGTTTAAGATTTCAGCCAAGGATGCTTTCTGGGAAGGGACTGCTTTTGAGCATCCGTAGAGGGGAACATGGAGCAGGAGTGCCCCCTGCTGGGTCGCATGGGGACTGCACCCAAGCACAGCCTCCCACCTGCTCCATGCACAGCGACCACCTAGGTGAGGACCCACCGCCCCCTCCACCCTCTCTCCTGGCTTCTGGTGTTGCCGGCCAAGTCTGGCGTTCTTTGTGTAGACTTCTGCTGCATCACTCCAATCTCAGCTACTGTCTGAGTTCTCTAGCGCTGCTATAACCGAAATACCACAAGGGGATGGCTTTAACAAAGACAAATTTATTCTCTCACAGTCTAGGAGGCTAGATGTCCAAATTCAGGGTGCCAGCTCCCGGGTAAGGCTTTCTGTCTCTGTGTGCTCCGGAGGAAGGTCCCTGCCTCCTTTCAACATCTGTGGGCCCAGCGTTCCTTGGAGATCTCCATGTGTCTTGGCATTTATCTTCCCCTGGTCTAGGAGCTTCTCAGCACAGGGACCTGGGTCCAAAGAACATGTTCTGCTCCCAGTTCTTTCTTGGTAGTAGGAGGTCCCCCTGTCTCTGCTCATGTTTCCTCTCCTTTTATCTCTTGTTAAGATAAAAGATGATGCAGGCCACACCCCAGGGAAACTCCCTTTAGATCTGCTCAGGGCTGACTTGAGTAAGGGGTTGGCATCCCACCCTAAACCTCATTCACGTGACCTAATTCTGCCTCATTAACACAATGGACAGCTCACTCCCAAATGGAATGAGCTCTTAACCACTGCACCAACAGGGCTCCTTCCAGATAGGTAGATAGATTAAACAGAGAGAGATGAGACAGATACACAGATTGACAGACGACTGAAGATAAACGCATACGTACACACAAGCAGATATACATACATAGAACTCCATGAGACTGGGTAAGTCCTGCGTTAAACAAAGCTTTGTTCCCCAGCGGTAGGATGATTTGGCAGGATGTTGCTGGGGTGGAGATTTATAAAAAAATAAAATAATTTTTCTTCCTCAATAAGTCAAGGTCCCCCACAACGAGCTGCCCGTGAACCTGTGGAAGACCCATTACAGGGACCTCATCCACAGCACTGAGCCCAGGACACCCCCAAGATCAGGGACCCCATTCCCAGCAGTGAGCCCAGAGCACCCCCAAGGACAGGGACCCCACTTGCAGCACTAAGCCCAGGGCACCCCCAATGACAGGGACTCCATTCCCAGCACTGAGCCCAGGGCACCCCCAAGGTCAGGGACCCCATCCACAGCAGCAATTCCAGAGCACCCCCACGGACAGGAAACCCATTACCAGCAGTGAGCCCAGGGCACCACCAAGGAGAAGGACCCCATTACCAGCAGTGATCCCAGGGCACCCCCAAGTTCAGGGACCCCCATTCCCAGTGCTGACCCAGAGCACCCCCAACGACAGGGACCCCATTCACAGCAGTGATCCCAGAGCACCTCCACGGACAGGGACCCATTCCCAGCACTGAGCCCAGGGCACCCCAAAGGACAGGGACCCCATTCCCAGCAGTGAGCCCAGGGCACCCTCAAGGACAGGCACCCCCTTCCCAGCAGTGAGCCCAGGGCACCCCTACAGACAGGGACTCCATTCCCAGCAGTGAGCCCAGATCACCCCCAAATACATGCACCCCCTCCCCAGCAGTGAGCCCAGGATGCCCCCAAGTTCAGGGATCCCATTCCCAGCACTGAGCCCAGGACACTCCCAAGGACAGGGAGCCCATTCCCAGCAGTGAGCCCAGGACACCCCCAAGGACAGTGACTCCATTCCCAGCAGTGAGCCCAAGACGCCCCGAAGGACAGTGACCCCATTCCCAGCAGAGAGCCCAGGATGCCCCCAAGGACAGGGACCCCATTTCCAGCACTGAGCCCAGGGCACCCCCAAGGACAGGGACCCACCGTTACCCAGCAGGAGTCGGGGCCCCGCAGACTGGTTGTTGAGCACACTCCCTCAGTGTGACCGTCTCCCCGCTCCTCCTCCACAAACACGTGGCAAAGTCGTTCCCCGACTTTTGCTAGCACATTTGGAAACGCGGCTGCCTGGTTTGTGAGAACTCGAGAGACACCCGCGTGCCCCATATTCTCCTTCCTTCCTGCTCAATCTAATTTTAAAAGGTGTCATGAACTCTCCATTTTCCCAGCTCTCCCACATCTGCAAGAGATGCCTCATAAACAGACCGTACGTTGCAAAAGAAGCAGAGAGCCTTGGTGCTTGCTTCAAGTTTGAGATGGGTGCACCATTTCTTGAAGTCCCTGGGTGGAACACACGGTTAAGAGCTCAACTACTAGCGGGAAGGCTGGTGATTCGAATCCACCCAGAGGCTCCTCGGAAGAAAGGCCTGGTGATCTACTTCTGAAAAACCAGCCGTTGAAAACCCTGTGGAGCACAGTTCTGCTCTGACACACACGGGGGCACCACAACCAAAACCAAACAAAGCCCACTGCCGCTGAGTCGATTCCAGAGGTGCCTCAGAAGAAAGGCCTGGCGATCTACTTCTGAAAAATCAAATGTGTTGCTGTCGAGCCGAGTCGAGTCCATTCCAACTCACGGTGACCCTATAGGACAGAGTAGAACTGCCCCATAGGGTTTCCAAGGCTGTAATCTTTATGGAAGCAGACGGCCACATCTTTCTCCAGCGGAGTGACTGGTGGGTTTGAACCGCCGCCCTTTTGCTTAGCAGCCGAGAGCTTTAACCACTGCGCCACCAGGGCTCCTGGGGCACCATGAGTTGGGGTCAACTGGACGGCAACTGGTTTGGTTGGGTTTCGGAGGGGTTTCAGGTGTCTTGGTGTTTGGACCCAGGTGCTGCAGGTGGAGAGTAAGGAGCTCGTAAAATTCAGAAAGGAGACCGTGGGTGGTGCAAAGGGTGAACGCACTCAGCTGCTAGCAGAAAGGCTGGAGGTTCAAATCCACCCAGAGGTGCCTCGGAAGAAAGGCTTGGCGATCTACTGAAAAAGCAACCATTGAAAACCATACGGAGCGCAGTTCCAGTCTGACCCCTGTGGGGGCGCCATGCGTCAGGGTCCACTAGACAGCAACAGACAACACACACCGTTTCTTCCCTCCTTCGCTGCAGTAATTACGCCGTTTTGTTTTCTCGTCTCAACTTCAAGTGGAAAAAACCGGGCAGACCGAGAGGAAAGATGGCACCCAAGCCCAGCTCTGGGAAGCGGATACAAGGGGAAAACAAGAAGCGGAAACCCTCGCCGCCGTACGGAAAGAGACCCAGAAAGGCAGGCTGTCTTAGCGTCCTTACGCAGCCGTAACAAAACAGCACACGACGAGTGGCTTTAAACAACGGAATTGTATTGTCTCTCGGTCCTGGAGGCTGGTAGCCGAGTTCAGGGGAATAGCCAGGCTGATTCCTTCCTCGAGGGTCGTCGGCCGGCGCGTGCATCTTCACGTGGTCACTGTTGTCCCCCGTGTGGCCCGACTCTGCGTCTGCTCTGCCCCTTTGTAAGAGACCACTCAGTGGGGATTAGGGTTAGGACCCACCGACGCCAGCATGACCTCTTTTAATTTAACTGATAACAAAAGAAAAATCCTGTTTCGGAACAAGGTCACGTTCACAGGTAAGAGCTGAGGTACCTGGCCTGTATCTTCCCTTACGCTAGAGTATGTGCTCCCAATAATATTAAGGACATTGCTTGTTTGTTTCCTCCTACAGTATCTTTCTGGAGGACACAATTCAATCCTGACATCAACCCAACTGTGAGAGAGACATGATATAGGTATGGATGGGGTGGAGACGGAGAGATAGATGGTAGACTCATAGACATGGATGATAGACAGATACATACACACGTATCTATATACATCGATATCTAGACAGATGACAGACTGATAGGCAGACGGATAGACAGACAATAGACAAATGACAGATAGAGAGATGGAGGATAAATAGATAGACGGTGTCATGGATTGAAATGTGTCCCCAGAAAATATCAGTCAACTTGGCTGGGTGAGGATTCCCAGTATTGTATGATTGTGTACCATTTTGTAATCTGATGTGATTTCCTTACGTGTTGTAAATGCTATCACTATGATGTAATAACATGGATTAGCGGCAGTTATACTGATGAGTTGTACAAGATTGGATAGTGTCTTAAGCCAATCTCTTTTGAGATATAAAAGAGAGAAGCGAGCAGAGACATGTGGGAACCTCACACCACCAAGAAAGCAGTGCCAGGAGCGTGTAGTTTGGACCTGAGATTCCTGTGCAGAGAAGCTCCCAGACCAAGGCAAGACTGATGACAAGGACCTTCCTCCAGAGCCGACAGAGAGAAAGCCTTCCCCTGGAGCGGATGCCCTGAATTTGGACTTGTGGCCTACTGGACTGTGAGAGAATAAACTCCTTGTTAAAGCCATCCACTTGGGGTATTTCTGTTGGAGCAGCACTAGATGACTAAGACAGATGATACACACATACATACATACATAGCTGGATGCTATGTAAAAAGACAGATGACAGACAGAAGACAGACAGATAGACAGATGATAAAGAGATGGATGATAAGCTGATGGATGGGTGGACAGACAAACAGACAGCCATGTTACAGTTCTGTCTCTCTGGAGAACCCTGGTTGTCACAGCTAGTGGAGTCACTTCCTAGCTAAAATAACATCATAGATTTTCCCCGTTTTCTTGAGCTGGAAGTCCTGGAAGCCAGCCAAGGAGACAAGGGTGTGGTACTTGGCTGGGGTCCTCTCCCGGCCCTCTGTCTGCACGAGCATGTTCAGAGAATAGAGCTGGGTAGTCAGGGGCCCCCGCCTGTCCTCGTCCAGGAGGCTTTCCACCACCAGGATGCCACCGCCTGGGGAGGGAGAGGAGGCAGAATTGATAGATAGATAAATAGATAGACGGATGGATGGATGGATGAACGGATGGATGGATGGATGGATGGATGGACAGACGGGCGGATGGATGGATAAGTAGATGGACGGATGGATGGATGGATGGATGGACTGACGGACAGACAGATAAATAGATGATAGATGAATAGATAGATGGATGGATAGATGGACAGATGGACGACAGAGAGATGATATAGACAGACAGACAGATTAAATAGATATGATATATAGATGATGGACAGATGGATGGATGATAGAGATAGATACATGGCAGGTATATGATGGATGGATGGATGGATAGGTAAACAGACAGGCAGATGGACAGATGGACAGACGGACGGACAGACAGATAAATAGGTGGGTGGGTCGGTGGGTGGGCAGGTAGGCAGGTAGACGGACAGACAGACAGACGGATGGATAGATGGATAGACAGATAGCTGAGGACCGGCTGACCGCCCTGCAAGTCTCCTTCACATGCCCCAGCACCGTGGCCATCCCTCACCTGACATCTGCTGTCCCACAGCCACCCAATCAACATTGGCATCCACAGCCTACCTGGCTTGCAGGTGTGGTGGATCCGCGCCAGCAGGTGTGAGCACTTCTCATCGGTCCAGTCATGCAGGATCCTCGCCAGGATGTACAAATCCGCCTCTGGAAGGAGGTCTTTAAAGAAATCTCCTGTAAAGAAATAGAACACCTGTCCAATCGCCTCCACGAACAACTGCCGCCTTTGCCACGAGGCCAGAAGAACTGGCAACCCCACGCGCGTCAGAGCAGAACTGTGCCCCACGGGGTTTTCAATGGCTCATTTTTCAAAAGCGGATCACCAGGCCTTTCTTCTGAGGCACCTCGGAGTGGACTTGAACCACCAACCTTCTGGTTATCTGCTGAACCACGTGCACCACCCCGGGGCTCCTCATGAATACACAGTTGAGAGTGGAGCCCTGGTGGCGCAGTGGTTAAGAGCTCGGCTGCTAACCGATAGGTCGGCAGTTGGAATCCACCAGCGGCTCCTTGGAAACCCTGCGGGGCAGTTCTATTCTGTCCTATAGGGTTGCTGTGAGTCGGAATCAACTTGACGGCAACAGGGTTTTTTTTCCCCCTTTGGTAAGACGGGCATTATTTGGAGGGTTGAGGAATCCACATCAAATGTCCATCAGAGGCAGTCAGCATCTGGCCGCCCCTGAGCCCCGTGGACGTCTCTGTCTTTCCCTGTGGACACAACAACCTACCTCCTTGGAAGCTGACCTGCTCCTCCCCTGGGAACGAGAAGTGCCTCCTGGCCATCCGCACCACCTCCGGCTCGTCAAACACGATGACCCTGCATTCAGGGTACAGGGAGGCGCACTCCCTGGCCAGCGCCCCAGAACCGCCTGGATGGGCAGGGTGGGAGAC